TCCTACTCAATCTCCAACAACAAAATTAGTGGACAGCTATTATCAGTGTTGCTATGACAACTCGTGTGCTGGACGAGTATTTGTTGTCATTGGTTCAATTTCTTTTACTCTTCATAGGCTATCAGATCATTTTCCTTATTCGGTCTATTTATAACCAGTATCCATAATGAGAGTGTGGTCTGTCTCCATGGATACCGGTGTTCATTTCATAACTATAGCCACTGCTCCTTGTTAGACCTTATGTGGAAGGCCCATTCTTGCATATTCCAACAGCAGCCAAGGGAGCTAGCTCTCTTGGTTATGCGGACTGGGTCCGATCCTAAAAAGCTGTTTTTATGAAGTGTTTTTATGAACTGTTTTTATGAACTGTTTTTATGAACTGTTTTTATTGGATAGGATGATTATGTTGAATAAACGAGGTTTGTGTCAATGGGAGATTGACTTGGAGTTTTTACGAGTTGATTCTAAACCATGGTAAGGTACAGGTTTTCAGCCAAACAGCGCTCGTCTAGCCATGGTTATATTGGCCAGTATAAATCCCGCGCCGGATTATATATAGAATATAAATCCCGGTGCACGGTATGGACGCTAGGGCACTGCCACCGTACATGTTCACTGCCTGAAAGGCAGTGAACTTTTACGGCGGCAGTACTCCAGCGCACGGACCATACATAAACAGACACAACGGACACTACATGCACATGTGCACTCCACACAGAACGGCACACTGACGAGGAACAGTACACAATGGAAAAGAAGGTATATTAACTAGGGCCGAAACGATCGCAAAATTTTGCATACCGATTACTCGTTTGCTTAACGATCGATTTAACGATTGTAACCTTTAACGAGCTACAATATAATCCAACACGCCAATTTTTCACATTTTTCAAGAACTTTTTCAAACGACCGGATATGGTGGCTGCTATATGTCAAGAGGATCAAGTTTGAAATGCGCGGTGCAGGCAGCAGCTGTGACCATATAATGGGGTGAAGGGACTAATGGGAGACGCAAAGAGAATCCTGAGAGACTGGCGGTAAGTGACTACAACTTCAAGCAAATCTAGTATACTCATTATAGTGTACTATTCAGTGTTGATATACGTGTCACTCAGAGGCATCAGAATCAGAGTCAGTGCCGGTCCCAGATAGCTCTGAATCTGAGCCACTGACAACAAGCTGGCACTCCACGGCAGCCAGGTTAGGCAGCGCTGGCATTTCCTCCTCTTCCTCGGCTTGCTCTGGTGCAACTGTGATTTGGTTTTTCGCCAAGAAGATCATAGCGTCAATGGATGATGGTGCCAGGGACGAGCGAAGTTTGTTGACAAGAACGCCACAAGCAGAGAACACACGCTCATCCGGTTCTGATGTAGCTGTGATAGAGGGATACCTCTGGGCCAGGACAGCAAGACCTGGAAACCTGGTGGAATTGCACTTCCACCAATCCAGAGGTTTGATCTCAATGCCCTCTATTCTCTCACTGCAGTGCCGTGCTGCTTCCTGGGCAGGCGATTCACTCTCCACGGCTGTGGCATCGTACACGGCTCCATGCAGCAGAGCTTGAAGGCCTGTGTCCTCGGGCTTGCGCTTGGCTTGCGGTTCCTGCGCGACAACAAAGGATAGTTGAGCGGTGTGCTTCTTCATATCCTCAGCTAGTGCAGCCTTGATGCAGCGAGCACGAGGGGGATGCCGATGTCACGTCTGACAGACGGAATTTAACCTGCAACTCTGACACAGGTGCAGCACGGATGTTCTCCACAGCACGAACACAGGTGTCCTCCACAGGCTCAGAGTACGTCTCGCTAAGACTGGCCACAACAGGCAGCACGAGAGAAGAGGTGACATACTTCTGGCCGCCGAATACTGTTGTAGGTGCCTTCGGTGGTTCCAGGGCTGCTGTCAGCTGCTCGGCTAATATCCAGTGGGTATCCTTCAAGAGCAAGTTCCGATTTTGGCCAGTGGCAGTCAACAAAGTACAAAAACAGGACTTGAATCTGGCAATCCAGATAGGACGAAACAATTCTATTTCAAGCGCAAAGAACAAGTCACGACTCACGATGTAACAGCTCAATCCCACCAAACCCATCACAGCAATAGCAAAGGTTTAGCAACTAGGCATACAAATCATACCATGACACAATGCTCCTCACCTGGAGCAGTCAGTACAGCCATGACGGGCAGTCGTAGCTCAACCAGACGTTTCAGCATGTCATGTGCAGAGTTCGAACGCGTAGGTACATCCTGGGTCAGTTTTACAGGTGATGTGCTCCCCATCTGGACCTGTTTCTTAGCAAGCAAAGCCTCTGTTGCTTGACTGCTATGGAGAAAGTGCCCAACCAACTTCCTGGCAGCACTCAACAATTTCTGTGCAAGAGCTGAATCTTCAAGCACATGTCGCACGCACGTTTGAAGGAGATGGGCAGAACAGGTCACTGACTCCCAGCCATGATCTTGGAGTAGGTGTCGACCAGCAAGCTCCGCATTTCTCGCTTCGTCGTGCACCACTGCAATTACCTGAGCAGGCTTGAGTCCCACTCTCTTCGTTGCATCCGACACCTTTTCCGCGATCCTCACGCCGGTGTGGGAGCCTGGAAAGAGAGCAGTCTCGACAACAGCGCCCTCCAATTCCCAAGTTTCGGTCACGAAGTGCATAGTTACAGTGTTATATGACTGCGTGGCCTTCGATGTCCACGCGGCCGTCGTTAGACAGCAGCCAGATACGGACTTCAATCGACTCGTGAGGGCAGAGAGATCAGTGGTGTGGCGCTGCCCGATCAGCTTGGAGATGTGAGTCCTCGACGGAATCACGTAACCGGGCGATACCCGTCCCATCAGGTCACGGAACCCAACATTGTCGACGATCGACAACGGCCGTAGATCACGAACAAGCCAGTCAGTGAGACTGCCGGTGATTTCTTTGGCAGTCGACGCAGATATTTGCTTTGTCGCGGGCTTCACAGCAACGTGCTGCGGCATCGATGACTGCTTTGCTGACGACTTCTCACGGTCACAACTACCGAAAAGGAGCGGGTGAGCGCGCTTCATATGCTCGCGCATGGCTGTCGTTCCACCAGTGTAGACAAGCTTCTTCTCGCATTGCTTACACTCGACTTTTTTTTGATCTACTGGATCGTTGAAGAACTCCCAAATCGGAGAACGCTTCGTTCTGGACGCCATTCCGAAGTCTTTCCGAAGTCTTTCCAAGATGAAACTACGAAACCACTGCTCTCGATAAAATTTGTCGCAAGCATGCATGCAGTGTACGGTACAACGCGGAGGCCCTCGAGGGCTCTCTAGCAGCACTGGTAGATCTACCACGTAGAGCTGCTGCCAGTACAAGGCCACCCTACTGCACATAGGTCTACGTGCAGGGCTCCCAGGTACCGCGTTGAGGACTACGGCGAGTGCAGGGCAACCGCACACATGTACATGCAGTGCTCCCTGGTCCCGCGTAGAGCTCCGCGCGCGAGTATCAGATGCACGAAAAGTGCCTTCAATTTTCTTGATTTTTTACAACAAAATCTTGAAAAATGTTGAGAACGCGCAAAAAATTTATCGGTAATCGTTTGCCAAACGATTAATCGTTCTTTTGTTCATTATCGATCGATCATCGAGTATTCGGTATAATCGTTTCAGCCCTCATATTAACCCTGGAACCAACAAATGTGGCAGGTATAACATTACACCTCCAAGCAGCCGAGCCTGTTGGCAACAGACCCAGCACAATCAGGCATAAGTGTACCCACCAACCGAACTAGCTGGCACACACACACACACACACACACACGAGCGCGCGCGCACGCGTGCACCGATGACAACGGAAACTGGGGCGAAGGCCACGCAGAACGAATCCAGAAGTTGCAGTTTACAACAGTTTCACCACCGCTGCTACCAATGTTGTATGTGGACTTTCTCCACCTGCTCCCAACCACGTGCCATCTCCACACATATACAATGGATGACAAGATTACTACATTTATTTAGTATTATTCTCAATATGGACATGGGGACATGGACGAGTAACAAGGAGCAAGAAAATGCACAACCAGTAGGTAAGTGAAAAACAAGAGAAGTCCCGAGCCAGTGAAGCACATCAAAGTTCTGGCCTACGGGAAACGGCCTGTGTGACGTACATACAGCATGCAACGCATACAGTCATAAGTGTACAATAGTGTACGCATAATAGAGTCCAGATGTTACGACAATTTATAAAGACGTATTGACACGACAAAGAAACACAACTAGTAACTGGACATGACAAACTTAAGGCGAAGACTGCTTTTCACACAACAGCAACACGCGCATGCACGCAACTTACACAAAATAACGCACTGCAACAGATTTGCTTTACTGAGCGCGGTAGCTTCTTTATGTGTGAAGAGAATGGAATGAACGGCATTATTGTGTGTGTTTTTCTGTGCAGCTCAAGGTTTGGCCTTGTTGGCTAAAAAACTAGGTACCCCTTCTGTATTCACAGTTTACTATCTGACTGGACAAAGTACATCACAGATTGGGAGTGAGTATTTACCAGAATGCGTGGCTACTAGTGCTTCTGGTAGCAGTATTACACTGACTAACACTAACACTGGTGTGGTTGTTGGTAAACATAGCCGAAGGTTTTTTCAGCTTTACGAAGCTAGAAGTACAGCTGTTGGATGGGACACTACCCAACACCCCACTCTCAACCCAAACTACACTGGAGTGTACAGATGTACAGCAAAGGCAGGTGATGCGATGAAAGCAACACAGACCTATCAACTGCATGTCGTTGGTAAGTAGGAAGTATCAATACAGACCCACTTGCTGTGCACTGTGCTGGATGTTTGTGACGTACTTCTATACTTTACGACACTAATATTTTGCTGTAACGTCAAATTTTGATTATATCAGCGAAGACGCCAGGTACAGTTTGGCTCTTAATTTTAGGTATACCACACATAGGGTGCAGTGGGATAACAAACCACACATAGGGTGCAGTGGGATAACAAACCACACATAGGGTTCAGTGGGATAACAAACCACACATATGGTGCAGTGGGATAACAAACCACACACAGGGTGCAGTGGGATAACAAACCACACATAGGGTGCAGTGGGATAACAAAGAACACATAGGGTGCAGTGGGATAACAAACCACACATAGGGTGCAGTGAGATAACAAACCACACATAGGGTGCAGTGGGATAACAAACCACACACAGGGTGCAGTGGGATAACAAACCACACATAGGGTGCAGTGGGATAACAAACCACACATAGGGTGCAGTGGGATAACAAACCACACATAGGGTGCAGTGGGATAACAAACCACACATAGGGTGCAGTGGGATAACAAACCACACATAGGGTGCAGTGGGATAACAAATAACACATAGGGTGCAGTGGGATAACAAACCACACATAGGGTGCAGTGGGATAACAAACCACACACAGTGTTCAGTGGGATAACAAACCACACATAGGGTGCAGTGGGATAACAAACCACACATAGGGTGCAGTGGGATAACAAACCACACATAGGGTGCAGTGGGATAACAAGCTAAGCAATCTCTTTCTCAGAATACTTGTGTAGTGATGCTATCATCAGGGCACACTGCACTGCTTGGCTAAAGGGTGTAGGAGTGTAGTCGGGAGTACTATTTTCTAACCGGGAGAGTACACATTCGCGCCAGATAATGAATGATTTATCTGCCATATATCAAGTATTTCTATAATCTATAGGTTTCTACCCCATGAAACACTAAGTTTTTTTCTGGTCATAGTATACCCAACCCTCGTTTTGGTCCTCATTGCCACTGTGGAAATATCTAAATGAAGCTGAGTATACAAATATGGACATCCAAGTATCTGGACTGATTGTGCTTGCTTTGCAGCCCCTACTCTCCCTGCTGCTTTGTCATTGTATACTCTGTTGTCTTCTCCCCTTCTGACAAGTAGGTTGTGTACTTAGTAAAAAAAAATTGTAAAAAGAGTACACTTCCTTGGATCGATATACGCAGGCATATTGAATGGCCTTTCTTGTGTCAATTACAACATGCTACGTATTGAAAGTACAGCGGTCGCAGTTATAATTATGATTTTCACCGCAACACGTAATGGGATTTTCGGATTTTCGGAACTGCAGTAAAAGCTTGTTATTACCAGACCCTCGCCCTAGCGGAATCCTGCACTGATCAGAAAAAAAACTTTCATAAACTAACATAGAGCCATTGAACATGTTCCTGGTTGAGCACAATCTTGTCTAATGTAGAAAACGAAAAGAGTTTTGGAGCGTTTTGTAGCAGGTCATATGTTTACTTGGAACAATCCAACTTCGTTTCGCTCCATTTTATTGCAATCTCATTTGATTGATTGTCCCGGCGTTCCAGGCCGTTTTCGATCCTATTTATCAGCTTGCATGCCATCGATGTAGACTTTCGAGTTTTTAGAGCCGTTAGAGACTGTTCAAATGTGCAAAACAAGTCGTTGCGGGATGTGGGTTAAGGGTCTTGTCCACTTTTCTGCGGTTAGGCACCTGTGTCTAACTGTGGTCGTAATTCATAGTTGTCTTGCTCTGTTATGTACAGTTCCACCCACAACGCCGGTACTTCAAACTCCAGTGTCAGTGTATAACGACACTCTATACAACATCAACTGTACCGGTCAAGGATACCCAGCACCTACAGTCACATTGAATGTTAACAACGCCGTATTGCCGGGCAGTGATACAACCAATTGTACTGCTGGTGTGTGTACAAAGACACACACGGCATCTCTAGATGGGAGTAACTACACACCTGGCCAGTCCATCAATATCACCTGTACTGTGGATATCAACCAACCACCATTCACATGTACTGCCGCTCAGAATGCAACATTACAGACACAGTGTAGTAATACTGCTGCCAAGACCAGCGCACACACAACAACTGTTCCTGTAGTTGGTAAGCACCAAGTTGTGTCTGCAGTTATTTTAACACAGAGTCCATCATTTCCTCAAAAATAACACTTTACCCAGGCCAACACCGGGTGCATAGCCACAGCAGCATGCACGCACGCACGCATGATTGCGTGTGCCCATGCACAGATAAGCACACGTGCACACAAACACACACGCACACACACACACACACACACACACACACACACACACACACACACACACACACACACACACACACACAAACACATTAACTACAACGCACAGCAGCTTGCGGTTAGGAGGGTGCTGGCCAGCGAAGTGAGAGGCTACAGAGAGAGCAGGATCTTGGCGGAGCCAAGAGGATAGTCACGTCCAAGGGACGAAGACAGAGAGCCCTGAGTAGCCGGAAATGAGCATGGCCAACACCCCTTTATTTACTTTATCAAAGTAAATGAGAGATGAGAAATGGGAGGTGGGTGGGTGAAACACAATGATCTGACAAGAGTGATCCGCACACAGAATGAATCGAAATATATAACTAAAACACTACGAGCAAAGAAGAATGATTGTCGCACAGAATGGATCGAAAATATATAGCAGATCAAACTCTAGCAAGACATGCAACGATGCATGCCACCCACGTTAAGCTACGAGCAAGCGTCATCATAACGCAGCCACACGCCTTCCACATCGGAGGCGAGCGACACGCATGAACGCCAAACTTTAGTATGACACGTTGAGTGCCTACGACGCATGCCGCCTACGTTGAGCGTCGCGAATGAATGAATGTCGCGTTGAGTGTCACGTTGTATGACACATAGAATGCCACGATGCATAGAGTACCATGTGAGCACGTACAGCGCACGTTCATACCAGCATAGTTTGAGTGGTAGCACGAAGCAGCCGCGTGCACCCATTAATCTGCATTATTACTATAATGCTACACACACACACACTCACACACACACACACACACACACACACACACACACACACACACACACACACACACACACACACACACACACACACACACAACCAAACACCCGCCCGCCCGCCCGCCCGCCCGCCCGCACGCACGCACGCACGCATGCACGCACACGCACACACACGCACACACACTACTACTACTACTACTACTACTACTACTACTACTACTACTACTACTACTACTACTACTATTGACAGCTGCCAGTATTAGCCACGCCGCTCCCAGATGGGAGGTACTGTCAGAGAGGTTAGGGGAGGACGGCAATGCTCCAGGTGACGTTCCAGATCTTGCCGCCTCCGGAACCGTCACTCACACACACACACACACACACACACACACACACAAACACACACACACACACACCACACACACACACCACACACACACCACACACACACACCACGCACACACCACACACACACCACACACACACACACACACACACACACACACTACTACTACTACTACTATGTACAGCTACCCTATCGGGCCACGCCGCTCCCAGAAGCGGGAGACAACGACAAGAAGAGAGAAGAGAAGAGAGAGAAATCGCAAACACACACACACACACACACAAAACACGATCTGGCAAGAGTGATCCACACAGAACGGATCGAAATAATTATATAACTGGGCAGACGTTAGCATGCCACATGGAGTGCCCGAGGATCATGTCGCCTACGTTGAGCGTCGCGCATGAGGGAATGCCACGTGGAGTGTCACGTGAAATTACACGTAGAATGCCACAACGCATAGAGTACCATGTGAGCATGGGTTACCGTGATGTACAGTGCACGTGACTGTAGCCAGCAGCAAAGCATGAGCATGCAGTAAAAGGGCCAGCAATCATAGCAACATAGTTTGAGTGGTAGCACGAAGCAGCCGAGTGCACCCATAAACGTCCTTAGCAAGGACGTTTATTTACGTCCTGAGTGTGCATCGCGTACTGATGAAATTTTTCAGGAGGCGCGTATGTTCAAACGATCAAAACTCAGACAACCCTTACTCGATTCTCACAATCGAAGTATGTAGATCGAAGAGAAAACTCTCAGCTTTTGATAGCAACATTTGCCGAAGCGATAGAATAAAGTACTGTTGAGTTATGGCGCTCGACGGCTACACAGCTTTACATGGCCAGAACAACATTTTTTTGCCATGCGTGGGCGCTCGGTTTTCATTTTATTTTATTTTTGACATTTGGTGCCATGGCAACCGAAGTTCAAATCAGCAGGAGACTCGCGGGAGCGTTCACAAGAAATGTCAGCTCGATACGATTGAGGAGGGTGGAATGGCGGGTGAAAGCTCAGTTTCTTTCACTTGCGCGACTACGCCATGACTTTGGGACAGATTCGCTTAGCTCTATAGCTGTTCAAATACTTTGTGGAGACTTGCTCTTTAGTTCAGCGTTTTGCTCGTTGCAGCAGCTTTCCAGGAACCTCTAGATCCAGTAAATTGGAGCATGGATGTTAGAATACGAACTTATTAGGTGCGGTGTGTTTCAGTAAAAATGACCCATTTTTTTTACAGCATACAAGAAATACAAAAGAAAGACCTTAAAAAACTTTAACATGCAACCCGAGAGCTTCTTTTTCATGTCCCGAAAGTGTTATTCACCTCCTAAAAAAATTTCACGGTTTCCTTCAGACTCGGCTAGAAGCCAAGTTTTCCGCATCAGTAGGAATGCCAACCACCCTTCAAGGATCAAGGTGCACATGCAGCTCCTAAAGCGGTGGGAGGTGAGTAGATCAGCTCACCAGCATGTAGTCAAAGACCGATAATCCCATTCACTGCATGCCTGTTTTCCTCTTGCCAGGCCGCGAGTTCCCGATTAACTGTGTGTCGCAACACGGCTGGAAAAAGTCCTTCCGCTTCCAAGCAGGTCCTGAAGCTGGGACCCTCTGTTTCTCAATCATGGTCTTAGACCATCCCACTATGCCTGACTGCATACTAGGGCATGTTCAAATTGCCTGCTTGCCAATTGATGAAGTTACGAGATTTGTATTTTTCCACTCTTTTCAGTTCCTTGTAGTAGCATCTCAACCATTTCCAACAATTACAACACAATTTCGAATTTCAGCACTACGCCAGGAACTACTGTTGCTGTGCAATGTAAGGATGGCTTCATCTCTAGGAATGGCATGGATGTCACATCACTGACATGTATGGCATCAGGTCATTGGTCACCAAGTCTACCTACTTGTGATGGTGAGTCTTTGCAAATGTTATCAATCTACAGGTGGAATCTCGATAAATTCCCTGTGCTTCACACATCATAGTGGTGAACAACATCCACTTTGCTAGGAATGCGCGCCTTCGGGCAGTGCTGCAATCTTTATCACACTCGAAATGAATGTGTTAGATTTATGGTTCCACAGAACTTGTACATAAAGAAGTCACCTTTTGTGGTTGCAGTGTGGTTGGTCAATGCGGTATCAGTTGTGGTGCTGACACTGGCGCAGGTGGTTAATATATTTAGGAGGTGTAGAACAATCCCACAATCACCGCATGTGGTCTCTGGCCGACCTCGTGACATGACTCCAAGTTGTAGATAAATAATTAACCTGGTTTAGTTGGTGGACTCTAACGCATAACTTGTGCCCCACGGCAATCCTTGTTTCACTTTAATATTTTCTTTGGCTCACCATCTGAGTAGTTTCTGATGATTACCCTTTGGGCTAGGTGTAGAATGTAAACAAAGAAATCTCACGAGAAACATAGCGAGCTTTTCACTCAACACGGCTGCAGGAAATTATGACGGCTCCCGATTCCGAAACATATTAGACACCCTTAGCAAAAAAACGTTATGTTGTACCGGTATTATCGTAAGGGGAAAAATACCGTGATTTGGGTGCGACCTTTAGCAAGATGCACGCTATTTTTAGTACGCTGTTGCCACGAGAGTAGCTTTGATTTCGCGCGGTACAACCATTTTTTGTCACCATATACGCGATACAAGGTGAAATACGTACGGAATATGCAATATTTGGCCAAAAACAAGTACCGTTGGTCACAACAATAAATCAGCCCCCATAACATTTATACGCTGCAGCTTCAACGCTATTTGGGTGATCAAGGTACGAGTACCGTAAAAAATAGCGTTACCGTTGTTTGCTTAGGGCGCGTTCAGACTACCGATAAAAAGTGACCGATTAGGAAAGTCACCAAGGTGATTTGATCACGTGACGTTACTGGCACGTTACCGGTGGGAAAGTTTTACTGCCGCGGCTGCTGCAGCAGTACACTTTCACCGGCAGTAAAAAAGTGCTCAGGCTGCATGCGCGCTGGGAAAAAAGGGAAACTCCCTTGTCAGTGCCGCAGTGAGAGCTGAAAACTTCACGGTCACGAATAGTTTGTTATCGGTAGTGTGAATGTCCTTCACGTTTTATCGGCATTCATGGTTTGACGGGGTTCACGGTAGTCTGAACGCGCCCTCGGGGTGTCTAATGTTTCCGAGAGTGCGCAACGTAAACAAAAAAATCTCACGAGAAGCATAGCGAGCTTTTTACTCAACACCGCAGCAAGAAATTATTACGGCTTATCCGAAACGTATTATTTCATAGCGTATGCATCGCAAACAAAAAATCTCACGAGAAACATGGCGAGCTTTGCACTCAATACCGCTGCAAGAAATTATTACGGCTTATCCGACACGTATTGTTTCAGAGCGCATGCAACTCATTAGTTGAGGAAGTAAAAGAAAAAGTGAAGTGAAGTGTGTGCTCCAAGAGAAACAACTCTGTGTAGCACTGTGGCCGCCTAGACATTACTACAATAGTTATTTATTATTATGCACAGCAACCCACTACTCTGTGCAGCAACCCACTACTCTGTGCAGCAACCCACTACTCTGTGCAGCAACCCACTACTCTGTGCAGCAACCCACTACTCTGTGCAGCAACCCACTACTCTGTGCAGCAACCCACTACTCTGTGCAGCAACCCACTACTCTGTGCAGCAACCCACTACTCTGTGCAGCAACCCACTACTCTGTGCAGCAACCCACTACTCTGTGCAGCAACCCACTACTCTGTGCAGCAACCCACTACTCTGTGCAGCAACCCACTACTCTGTGCAGCAACCCACTACTCTGTGCAGCAACCCACTACTCTGTGCAGCAACCCACTACTCTGTGCAGCAACCCACTACTCTGTGCAGCAACCCACTACTCTGTGCAGCAACCCACTACTCTGTGCAGCACGGGGAAGCAATCCAAGTCAGTTCTGCACATGGATTGAATCACTAATAAGGGGCTGTCCTTATGATAATCATAGCCAGCAATCGCATGTCATCACGTACATTGAAAATCAACATAATTTTGGAAATCAACCTTTTTTCAGGATCACTTTTCAACGAGGACGAAGCAAAGTCGGCCGAACGAAGCCTAGAGGAAGAAAATCACCCTCTCCACTTCACCATCACGATGCTGACATAGATACGAGATGAAACAACTAAAAAATCCACAAGAAAACTGTACGACCATCATCGCGCTGACTTTGGTCTGACTTTGGTCTGAAAATTTCTATCACGATGAAAAATGTACAAGCAGCACTCAAAAATCAGCCACAGACGTACCTTTATCGCTCTCTACTCCTTTTTCAAGGCACAAAAGTCGACTCCAGGAACCAGACATACCAGTGGTCCTTTTCAGCTGCTCCACGAGCGCAGTAAATGTTCACCAAGGGGCGCAGAGCAGCATCCATTCCAGAAAAAGAGCTAAAATACGAGTGAGACTGCATGCCTGAGTTCATGAGTACATGTATGAGTACATGCAGAAAAAAGTCAATTTCAGCGGTTCTGCTCCAAACAGCAACTAGCTTCGACTAGAATCAAAGATTACACCAAAGGATCAAACAACAACCATTTTCTGCAGTTTTTTTGTTGATGGCTTCCTTGTGCTTGGCCCAGCATGCCAAAAATCACACCTCGGAGGAGTACAAAAATTACAACTCTCAGATGTCCTCGATTGCTGGCCATGAAAATTGTGAAGCAACAAAAGGTTGTCAGGTTAAAATGCCTGATGGATTTAATACTAGTATTTGTTTTAGAAACCAATAGTTTGCACGACTACAAAATTAATCCTTGGCTCTCCTCCCGAGTCTAAAACTAATGAGCGTGTATTTTGTGCTAACGATCATGTACTCGGGGTGATGTGTAACGCATGTCAAAGGGCTGCCAATGCTAACAGCTGCAGGGCAGCCGGCTCTCTCAACAGCAAAGGTAATCGACTGCCCTCTGCATCACCCCACATTTCTGGCAGGAACACCAATCGTTATTTCCTTGTCGACCAGTGAAGTCGCAGTTGTGAAGCTTGGGAATGTTGATCAAACATCGTTCTTCATCATCAGAAAATTCAAAAAACTAAGATCTTCAAATGCAGAGAATTTGAATAATAAGCCCACGTGACGTCATCAAAACCATGAAAAAGGAGACAAACTTGGCCCTCCCTGGCTTCATATATCGACTTTTTGGGTCTAGTTTTCGCGATTCCCCATTCCTGGGGGGCCATATAAGGCCCCCATGAAGAGAACACACCACCGAAAAAATTCCCGGAGTGCCCCTTGAAGGTATAGCTGGATTCCTAAAGACGAGCATATCCATTTTCAAATTTTCAGCTTGTGCAGCGCATATAGATCACTTTCTCCAATTGCCAAAGTTGAGGGCTCGTTAGAAAGCTGATAGAATAAGCTTCCGAAAGGTGTGTCTTTTGATATAGTGCAGTGAAGAATCACTGAGCACCGAAGAGCGAAACACGACAGGCTTGAACTTGTGTTCAAATTCAGTGCCTGGCGAGCGAGGCAGTGCTCAAACGAGGACTATCGCTGTGACCCATGGTTGCACGGCGCATGCGCAGTGGGGATCAAATGAAACGCTTGAGCTTCAGGCATCTGCAGGACTTTGAATTTCTATGTTGAGTAAAACTTCAGAAGCGATGAAATCAGTGTGCTGAGCTCTACATTGGATAGGTGCTTATGGTACGGTGAGCCGAACGACAGGTTGTCTTAGTGTGTTCCGTTTGTGCTTCTGTGTGGCTTTCTGCATTTAGCTTGCTCCACCATCTGCAAGAATACCCAAGTGACGTTTTGTACCCATATCAAGCTGGCCAACATACCCGGGGCTATCGACTGCCCATGCACCGGTACTGATACAGTTTGGACGAGATCTGCTGGTAGCTGCGTGCGTAAGTGGTGTTCTCCGTCGGTACAGTTAAACCTCTTTAGGCTGAACGGCAAGGGACCAGTGATATTTTCAACAAAGAAAGTTCCTATTGTGACGGAGTATTGTCCAATATGACCAATACGAGGTCTATTATGGGAAATATGGGCCTAGTAATAGACCGAGGTCCGCTGAGATCTTTTACTTGGGCTCCGGTGAGAGGAGCACTTTTCGCATGAAATCGTTGCCGACGTCACTACCACTATACGCGTGCCAACAAACTTTCAACTTGGAAGACTAAAAGTTCATGCATTAAAAGGTTCGTGTCTTGGACCCGACGGTTTTCAGGTGTAATGCAGAATAAAGATCGATTCACAATACAACTTTTGTCGACGTGCCTTGCGACCTGCGACATCTGCGAGAAGGGATTTCACGAAGCCGGGTGGGCAAGCAAATTAAGTGCCAAGTACGAGAGGGACATAAATTATACAAGGGTTACACCGTGTGAGCGGTATGTAGCGAGAGTATATGTGGTGGGACATGGTTGTGGTGCAGAGAATGCGCAAAGAGTATAATTATGTTTAACTTTAAAGCGTGAACATAATGTTGGCCATTTGATGCGATGCAAAAGGTGCGAGTGTTCTAAGTGTGGGCAAGGGGGAAGGTGGAGACATTTTCTGGCGACTTTCCGCTGGAGTCGTTCCAGCCTGTCAAAGGAAGTGTGTGACAACGGGGTGAGAGCAATGCTCGCATATGAGAACATAAGTACTTCGAAGTAGTATCTACATCTCATAGATGTGAGATAAAGAATCCTTGGCGAGTGTAGACCTTACAGGGATCGATTTATCCGGGTTCCCATCGCAGCCTGAGAATCAAACTTGTTATCGCCCAAAACTGCGATGCACTGGCCATGCATAGCGGTATGTACAAAGACCGTTCTGTGCTGATTGTGTGCAGTGTGCATGCGACTGTTGTACACACTGCTGACTAGGGAGTAGTATTTTACTACTCCAACCAACTGGCCTGTCCTGCTCAGTCCGCGGGCAGGTCGCGGATCGTGCTCTCTATAATTTTGGACACTGCACTAGCATTGGTCGTACATGACTGGAGTCTTTTGAAGTAACAGTTAGTTTTGTACGCGGTGGCGACTTTCCCTGAAGTTCTCTTTTCTTCTTCCACTGTCAAGCTCAGTTTGTTTCTGTGGGACAAGACACAGTTGAAGTAGATGGTTCTTAGTCTCCTGAATCCGATCACTGTCCAGAAGTGTGAAAAAGAACTGGACGCCTTGGGAGTGTCGACTCGTTCCGGTGAAGAAATGGAGAAAAGCGAAAGTTCTTTGCGCTTTGCACGAATTATCACGATCGCTTGAATGCTTTCCTGTGCTTTCTTTGTCTAAGGAATCCGTGGAACTGCCCTGTTGAAGGACATTGTGTTGTGAAGAACTCGAAGTCGGATAGACGCTGAACACACACTTGAGAGGAATCAAAAAAGCGTTTCTGCTGTAACCCTGAGTTTCACGGTTTGAACCGATCATCAGACAGCAGCTGAACATGTAAAAAGCTCAAGGGAAAACGCTAACATAAATACATTCAGGTCGACCGTTCGCTTGGAAAGCACATAGCAACTGCAGCTATTTCCCTCTTCTGTACAAAATCCTGCGACTGTACAGATCTACATGTAAACTTCCAATGAAGGAAAACTGCTAATCAATACTGGGGTCAATTGTAAAACTGTGTAGCAGTGACTGCTATGCAGAACAAATCAAAGTAAATCGACGCCTGGACCTTAGCCTAAAAAGTATATTGAAAGACTTGAGTGATTTTTTGACTAAGTTGGGTGGTCTGTTGCTTTGCGTGCATCCAAAAATCGGAATACTGGTCAGGTATGCAATGACAGATAACGTGTGCATACTGACTGCAGAATCCTGCATACTTGCCGTATAATGGCCTGCTTTCTCCCGCTGCATACTTGCCGCATAATGGCCTGCTTTTACCCACATAATTATGCACCTAATTTTAGGATTTCGTCCATGTCTTTTCAGACAGTCTATTTTAATACCAGAAGGAACTGCAATTTCAAATTTGGACTTCACGGAAAATTTCATTGTTTTTAGGAAATTAGAGGCCACATGCCACGTACTGCTCTTTTCTCTCCGAAACTCAACACTTGCAAGCCAGATATAAAAGAAGGAAAAATCATCAGTCACACCACCAGGTCTCGAACCAGGGACTGCATCAAATAATAACAGTAACACATTCTATGTGCACAAAACGTGCACTCAGTTCTGTAACCGCTTTACGACTGCGTGATCTGGCTTTTGTTGTTCTTTTTATCTCTTCCTTTACCACACAGCCACACATTGCCCAGCTGTAGGCAACACAACCACAACCAATGCCATTCCCAGGTTGGCAGTCGGCACGTCGAGATATGTTGCATGCAATAATGGCTACTCATCTGGCAAAACAGTGCGCAACACCAGCTGTGTGTCTAACGGGACGCTTACACATCAACCAGATTGCAAAGGTTAGAATTTAGTGACGATAGCTCACTCTACAATAAACGTCTTTAGTGTGCATGCATTTTACACTGCACCACACACTCATACTATTATGTAGAAAGGAAAAGGACATATGGAAACGAGTTAAGAGTAACTCAGTCTCAGTCTCAGTACTCTGTCAGTTTTGTGCTTAGTTATTGCACTTTCTGACTGTACATAGTATCTAGTCACAGTGGTGGAGAGTTACTCTTAACTCGTTTCCATATGTCCTTTTCCTTTCTACATTTATTATTGGCTCAATACCCGGGTTTCATACTTTTATGGTCGAAATTGAGATTCTCAAAATACAGTACAGTGAAATCTGTCTCAAGAGACGAGAAAAAGTGGTCGCCGTGGCCAGGTGGTCTTCTTATCCAGGTTCAGTGGGTCACGTGACCATATCCACATGTGACACATCTTTTTGATCAGTGTACACGCCTGCTAGTATGCTAGTTTTGGCAGTCTAGCACGACTGGCGTGCCTGGGGACACTTGGGGTCCTCAGACCTGTCAAGTGTAGATGTGCATGCACCGTGCACATCTACACGTTCTGCACTGATGTGTAGATCTACCATGCATGTTGCACCATGCAATGCACACATTTACATGTACTAGCACTGTGCCACGCGGTCGCAGGTCGGTGGTCATCGGTCGCGTCGAGCGAGTGGTCGCCTTATCCGAGCTGTTTTGAACGTGAATGCGTCCGTGACAAGGAAATGTGGCCACCAAGGTCGAGTGGTCGCCATGGTCCAGTGGTCACCATATCCGAGTGGTCGCCATATCCGAGTGGTCGCCATATCCGAGTGGTCGCCTTTATCCGAGCTGTTTTGAACGTGAATGCGTCCGTGACAAGGAAATGTGGTCAGCATGGTCGAGTGGTCGCCATGGTCGAGTGGTCACCATATCCGAGTGGTCGCCATATCCGAGTGGTCGCCTTATCCGAGCTGTTTTGAACCTGAATGCGTCCGTGACAATGAAATGTGGTCACCATGGTCGAGTGGTCGCCATGGTTGAGTGGTCACCATATCCGAGATGTCGCCATTACAGGTTTTACTGAACATGTATATTGACTTCCCTGATTACACAGGACAGTCAGGTCATGTTCGATTGGTTGGATCCGGATCTAGACCGATTGATTGGATCCTTTGGATTCACCAAAATTTAGATGGATTGAGTGGATCCTTTGTATCCACCAAGGTCCAATCAAATCTTTCCCTTGATTGTACCTGGAATTTCCGTGACTTGAGGGTTTCCATGAGAGAAAGCTGCGATTTCCGCATTATCGCTTTTATTCTCTCCATTTGTTCACTTACCGCGTACAGAGTACGAATTTTGGCAAGAAAAAGAATGCGGTGGGCCTGGTCAACCCTTCTCCCCGCGATGAGTTGACTGGATCCAAATCCAAAGGATCCTGATCCGGATTCGACCCGGATCCTACCAATGCAACGTGCCCTTAGGTTCAGAAAGGACGAAAACAACGGTCAAATTTAAATTTACAGGGCTGTACTGTAGTCTCTCGTTGCTGCTGATCGCGATAGTATAGGCAGCTTGTTTATCAGTGTAGTTGGTTTCTTTTTAATCCCCTGATGAATCTCGTAATATACTGGTCATGACTGTTTGCTCCAGAGATTCTCAATATCGGGGATATTTTGGAAAAAGTCCAAATTGGAGTAAAAGACACATTGAACGAGGGATCACTGCTTCTCAGCACAGAGCATGGGAGCCAAACTGCTTTGAGGTGGCTGGGGCGTGACAACTTTCCGGGGGGAATTTTAACTGCATTTTTGAATTTATTGGCAAGGTGGAAATGAAATTTAAAATTGTTTTTCGGTGACTAAGGACGTTTAGCAATGCGAAAGTTCGAAAGAAAATTCGAGTATGGGAATGAGTACAGAAAAAAAGCTCGAAACTTCGAAAACTTGGACGCGAAGTTGCAGTGATTTGCGAAAGTAACTTTCTTTTTTCTCGGTAAGCATTCGACTACAAGGAATAGTAATGTTACAGCCCCCTGCCTGAGACTGAGCTGCATATACGGTACGGTACTGTAATATTCAAATAGCTTCGAGAAAAAGTCCTTTCGCATTGCTAAACCTCACAAGTTTTCTTTTTTGAAACAGATTTTCGCGAAATATCACCACCACAAAAAGTTCGAATTTTCGCATTGCTAAACGTCCTAACTGGAGAATAGCCTTCTCTAGCTTTATTTTTATTTTTTTTACTTTTGGACAAAATTTGCAAACTAACATCATCTGCATCCATTTCAACACACTGGGTGATGCGGAACAATCAAATCCTATAGCATTATAGGATCCGACAAATAAAACTGCCATGTCCTCTCTAGAACGGCCCCATAAGTCAAGCGATGATAATACTGGCACTCTTGAAAACTTCTGTAGAGAACCTACTGATAGTGTCCTAACACCTTACGATATAATGTAGGCACACAACTTATCCCGGGCGGAAGCAGGGTCATGATTAGACTAGTGCAAAACAATTTCGTCTGAACTCCTCCAGCCTGTTGTGAATGGGAATAATAGTTGAGAAAGTAGTACTTGTACTTGTGACTGGTTGATTGACCCATGTGTGTTAATCTATTCCTCTTATAGATATCAATGAGTGTAACAGCATGTGTGTTAATCTATTCCTCTTATAGATATCGATGAGTGTAACAGCATGTGTGTTAATCTATTCCTCTTGTAGATATCAATGAGTGTAACAGCATGTGTAACAGTACATCATCACACTGCAACAACACATTGGGAAGTTTTGTGTGCACATGTGATCCTGGATATACTAGCGATGGATTTAATTGCACAGGTTAGCAATTAGCCTACATGTAGTGTGTGTGTGTCGGTGTGTGGGTGCCCGCTCGCTCGCGCGTATGTACATAATGTGTGTGTGTGATTGTGTGCGTGTGTGTGTGTGTGTGTGTGTGTGTGCTGGCGCCCGCACACTCGCGCATATGTGTGTGCGTGATTCCGGCGCCTTGATAGCTTCCACCAAAACAGTATCCTGTGTGTTTCGTGAAAACAACGTCGGGAGGAACATGTTACTAGTGAGCGGCATTGAGAAACGTGGAATGACCCATCGATATTGTCCTAACGGCTTCGGAAGCTGTGGCTTGGATGGCTTAGCCATGTGTCACCCATGCCAGATATTCGCAGCTTTTGCTTTGCTTTTTCCCATGGCCTCGGCCTACGTGTGGTCCCAGCCTTCGCTAGATGAATGTGATTTTGTCTGATCTTTTCCACATCGGCATTGGTAATCTGGCCTGGTAGGAGATCGTTCCGGATCTTTCTGCTTGTCAGGTATCAACCATTGTGTCGGGCCTCACCAGACCTTACCATGACCAATCTCAGCGTGGGGACTGTAGTATCTGCCATCGCTCATTTCGTCAGCCAGGTGGCAAAGCAAGGCGAAATGTAGCTCAAAGAGACGTCTCTCTATTCAGGAGCAGCATGGTGCTGTGCAGTGTGGTACATGCATACGAAAAGCTACCATTTACAGAGCCACAATGTGGTCAGCATGCTCTTCATCTGTGTACCAACTAGACATACTTGATCCAGTCCAGACCAACAGGCACTTAATATACCTTGCATTCTCTCTTGGAAAATGTGACTTGGGATACCATGTGAATAGATGTCCATGACACCTGCCACCCTCGCGTCAAAAGGCACGTGGCTTCTCCATTTCGCATGCCATCAAATTAAAAAAATCAGGCATTTTTCTTCTTTTTTCGTTTTTTTTTTCTTTTTTTCCGCGAGGACGCGGGGTTCTTTTTTCATGGAGGGGTGGTATGTAAGACCCACAATTAATTAAAATAATATTATATTAAACTCGGGTATTGAGCCAATAATAAAAGTAGAGATGTGTTGAAGCTAGGTGTCAGGACGTCGAATGTCTCAGTACTCTGTCAGTTTTGTGCCTAGTTGTTGCACTTTCTGACTGTATATGGTATCTAGTTACAGTGATGGACAGTTACTCTTAACTCGCTTCCAAATGTCCTTTTCCTTTCTACTAATATTATATTAATTCATATAATTCATTAGTTCATGCATTATTCATTTGGCCTGGGTAGCTACTTGCACGTCCATGTTTCCCATAGCTACCCAGGCCCATTAAATTGCGTTGCCTTTCTCTCAACTCTCTCTCGATTCTCGACTCTCGACTCTCACTCGAACCATTGAAGATCTGCTCGGCTGTTGCTTGAATTGTTTGAATTCTACAGAAGTCTAAAAAGAGGTTTAACCAAAATCAATTTTCTTGTCACTCTGATCAGTGGATTTTCGTGACTGAAGAATAATAGTGTACAGCAGAGAAAAAATGATTTTTGGAATGATATAATTATACAAAAAAGGGCTCAAAAGAGGAGCGGGAACAACGACGTGAGATAATAGTTAAACAATGTGTTCACTTACGAACTAGAGTGCTACTTCATGCTTCTTATGCCTACACAGAACTGACTTGCACAGACGAATACACACAGCTTCAAGCACCTGTAATTGTCGAGCACATCGTGCGCGACAAAGTACAGTGAAACATAAATCATCATAATAAAATTATACTTCTAAACACTTAGGGTGTGACAAAAAATGAAGATATACAGCAGACTTCTGATTATCACCATTTTCATCCAGCTCCTCCGTCCCGATGCTGCCGTCGTCGCCAATCCGATCATCGCCGTCCCCATCACCTCCGTCAATCTCGTCATCCAATACATTGATGTATTCCTTGTCAATTCTCTCTGTTTTTCCTTGTTATTCCATTGTCCAGTTGACTCCGCCTTTTGACTCCTCCTTTGAACAGTACGTTTGGTCTCTCCCTCAGGAACAGCGAAGGTCACCTTAGTTCCATATTAGAGAGGTTCCGGCGTACGATTTTCCGTGCCAAAATCCGTACAGGCGCTACGGATTCAAATGTTCAAAATAACAAGGCATAGCGCGGGAATATGGCGTGTTTACGATCATAACCTAGGTAATGACGGCAAACACACAAGTTCCTTTCTCCGGAATATTTCACTGCTCGAAAACGGCGTATAAAAGATCCGTAGCGCCTCTACGGATTTTGGCACGAGAAAATTCTCTAGTGTTAAGTCTCATAGTAGTTGAAGGTGTAGGTAGCCATTGAGCGTCTAGGCCGTTCACACGCCTCTCCTGCATTCAGGATCAGGTCCATGTACATCATGTCCCAGGACTCCATTGTAGGAGACCCCAACAGGTCCACACTCAACGCAGAGGTGGGTGATGGCTACGGTGGAGGCAGTGGCACTACTGGCATCAAGGGTTCAATTTCTCTGTCAGGCTCACCGTACCCAACAGGTCGACATTGTTGAGTGCATTCGTGTGTTGGTTGTGTGGCATGCTCAGTATCCCTAGGATGTGAGTTGTTGGCGTGTGTGGTTCTCAAGGACTGTGCCGGAAGTTGTGCATCCGATAGAGATGAACACACCACAATGAGAAGAAGTGATTGTATACCAACAACAACAATACCGATATACGTAATAAATGGCCAGATTCTACAAAATCTTCTTTTTTACTGTACTGTGGCACCAAAGGATGTACCCAACACCGCAGAGGCAGAGCGAAATAGAGAACAACAAGGACAATCAAGGCTTGTTTGTTGCTACTTCAAGTGTCATGCTCTCACAATCATCAGCCCCCCCCCCCTCCCTCTCTCTTGCCTGATGATTGCGAGAGTGTGAAACTTGAAGTAGCAGCAAACAAGCCTTGACTATCCTTGTTGTTCTGTACTCTACTGTGTCTATGATTTTCATGACGGTGGAAAAGACGGCCACGATGAAGGCAAACTCCCGTTATTCCTACACTACTTAACTTATGACCCATACGACAAGTCAGCTGAAAATGGGTATGCATAATGCCAAGAGTACATGTTCCCACTCTTGCCATTGATGTCAATCTGTTGCAGTATTAGAAATGACCATGTGCAGAAAGGTTTGCGTAATTTGTGTTCACAAATGCAAGTTGATGTGTGTGCATGTGTACGTGCGTGTGTGTGTGTGTGAGTGTGTATGTGAGTGTGTGTGTGTGTGTGTGTGTGCATGTGTGTGTGTGTGTGTGTGTGTGTGTGTGTGTGTGTGTGTGTGTGTGTGTGTGTGTGCATGTGTGTGTGTGTGTGTGCGTGTGTGTGTGTGTGCGTGTGTGTGTGTGTGTGTGCGTGTGTTTGTGTGTGCATGTGTGTGCGTGCATGTGTGTATGCGTGTTGGTATGTTATTGTGTGTGTGTGTGTTCTGGTGTCCTTCTATTGACTTTGTTTGACTGGAGAAGTGGATATTCCTAGTGGAAAGTCAAGTTTAACCGGAGGTCAAGTGGCAGGAGTAGTCATTGGCCCCTTGCTGCTGTTCGCATTGATTGGAGGCATTGTGTTCACCCTAACCAAAAAAAAGTCTCATGGATTGGGGTAAGTGCAAGTTGCATTACTTCACTATGTTTCGTTAGCATGGGAACGTTGGGAGGATAAAGGTTAACCCTTGCAGCATTTAACCCTTTAAGAGCCACAGGAAAATTTCAAAATTCTGCATTTTTTCGTGTTCCTTGGATCATAGCTTCAGTTCTACTCACTCAATCCTCACAATCTAGGGCTTCCTGGAACGGTCTCCGCGAGAGGAAGAGAATGAGGTCGATCATGATAGCCAGCACACCGTCTATCCAGCGCTAGATCGCAGCGACAGTACGAAAAATGCCCCAAATGCATCCAATTGCGTCCCGCTCCAGATATTTCATTTTACTCGATCGTGGAGTTCCAATTTTTTCGCTGTGTACTCTTGACAATATCAACAGTGAAACCCGTGCAAATTCGAGTGAACCAGCTTGACGAAAAGTCTCAAAATTCTTAACACTAAACTCGCACTGCGCGCTTTTGAAAGTGCCGCGATCGCGGCTCAACTTACGAGTTATTTATCTCAGGAAACGTTGCTCGCAGCGCTTCGCGAATTGTTTCTCCCGACAGGTGAGAGTTTTCTCTTCGCCCTAGATATTTCGATCACTGGATGTGAGTGAGATTGGACTGAGTTACGATCTTTTGAAGTTTTGCATTTTAATGTGTCGTTTACATTCAAGTATGGGGCGGCCCTTAAAGGGTTAATACTTAATAGTCATTTATAAGATTTGGGTAGGGTCGGTGGTCTCTTGTGCAGTCGGCACTGCTGAATCTGCGATGTTTGGGACATATCTGCACGCATCACCCACCTTCTTAGCCCAATTTTGTTTAGAGCCCTCTCTCGAAGAGTGACCTCTCCGAAATCGTGCTCCTGTCTCGAGTTGTTCCCCTGTCTCGAATTGTGCCCCTGTCTGGAATTGTGCCCCCGTCTCGAATAGTGCCTCTGTCTCGAATTGTGCCCCTGTCTCGAATAGTGCCGCCTGTCTCGAATAGTGCCCCCTGTCTGTAATAGTGCCCCTGTCTCGAATAGTGCCCCTGTCTCGAAAAGTGACCCTGTCTTGAATAGTGCCCCTGTCTCGAATAGTGCCCCTGTCTTCTTAGCCCAATTTTGTTTAGAGCCCTCTCTCGAAGAGTGACCTCTCCGAAATCGTGCTCCTGTCTCGAATTGTTCCCCTGTCTTGCATCGTGCCTCTGTCTCGAATTTGTTCCCCTGTCTCGAATTGTGCCCCTGTCTGGAATTGTGCCCCTGTCTCGAAAAGTGCCTCTGTCTCGAATTGTGCCCCTGTCTCGAATAGTGCCGCCTGTCTCGAATAGTGCCCCCTGTCTGTAATAGTGCCCCTGTCTCGAATAGTGCCCCTGTCTCGAAAAGTGACCCTGTCTTAAATAGTGCCCCTGTCTCGAATAGTGCCCCCTGTCTCAAATAGTGCCCCTGTCTCAAATACTGCCCCTGTCTCGAAAAGTGCCTCTGTCTCGAGTAGTGCCCCTGTCTCGAATTGTGCCCCTGTCTCGAATAGTGCCCCCTTTCTCAAATAGTGCCCCTGTCTCAAAAAGTGCCCCTGTCTCAAATAGTGCCCCTGTCTCAAATAGTGCCCCTGTCTCGAAAAGTGCCCCTGTCTCAAATAGTGCCCCTGTCTCGAAATGTGCCCCTGTCTCGAATAGTGCCCCCTTTCTCAAATAGTACCCCCTTTCTCAAATAGTGCCCCTGTCTCAAATAGTGCCCCTGTCTCAAATAGTGCCTCTGTCTCGAATTGTGCCCCAGTCTCGAATTGTGCCCCTGCCTCTCAGAGTCCATGATAAAATAATTAATAAATAAAAGCCTCTGTCGTGCCTGCAGGTACACATCTATATCGCCATACTCTCATACCTTTTCACAAGTTTTCAGCTTAGAGAGCGTTGTGTAGTCTTGGAAGTGTTTACCGCCAGGTGTGCTTCAACCACCATCTCGTCCCATGTCATTTTTATTGTGCTATATTGGAGTTTTCAGATAATTGTGTTACTCGCATGCCATTATTTTGGTGCTAAAGTTTAGTATTTCTCTACCAGTTTTATTCAGTTCCAGTTTTTTTTTCCGTGCACTTGATCACAAGGACATTTTCACCCAGCTCAAGTTCACACTACCACAAGAACGTATGGAGCGGTGGAGAATTGTGGCAAACCACACATGAAGGGAATGCAGCAGTTTCTTGCGTGTCAAGTCACACCCTTGCTCAGGAGGAAAGAGAAAAGGTTTTAGGGGGTATTTGGGCAAATTCCTGTTCTAGAACCTCCTTTCAATTCGGAAATGTGCTATGTCATTCCAAAACAACATGGAAAAAGAAGAAGAAAAAGTCGCTCATGAGGGGCTCCAACCCATGAGCCGCAGGAAGTAATGTCTCCACTCATGATCTGCACAGAAGGATGCTGGGAAGACCAGTTTGTGACACCCAATCAAGCTACCTTAACCCTAACACTTCCGGAGGCATCATAATATGATGTATTTGCGAATTTCAAAATGGGATTGCTGTTGTATGGGGCTTAGAATCTCCCCAATTTTTATTTTTGTATTTTGTTAATGGCAGTGGGTTGTTTTTTCAAAAATTTAGTACAGTACCGAAATGCCAGGGGGTGCTACCTAGAACTACCGCGCGGCATCATATGACTCCACACACCATAGGCATCAATGAAAGGGCGAATTTGGCTTAGAACCACACGTGAATAACGTGAAGAGGAATCCATTGGGGAGCAAGGAGATTGGGGACCATGAAGGTGGTGGTTTGTACATATGGATATGCTAATATACACATTTCACGTGTCGTTATGGTCAATATCATAATCCCGAATCCTGCCGAAACAGACAAATTTGTTTTTTCTAAGTTTGGAAAGTGATTCGCTATATCAACTGCAGAATAGAATTATATGAAGTGCCAGGGCAGTTATAATATTCTAGGAACGTCCTTTGAGTTTACGTTGGTCTGGCGGAAGCCATGTTCAGTAGGCGCAGTGTCGCTGCCGGTAAAGCATTTCATTTTATTTTGAAACATTTTGGGCAGGAGTTTGGGGATGAATGCGAGGAGAGTGCCTGGAGCATTGTGCGCGAGCAATTAGAAGTGACCGAAAACAGAGACACATAGTTATATGCTCCAGATGAAGATGAGTGAATATGAATTGCTCCGGCTTCTCTATCAGTCTGATACGGGACCGGAGTCGAGGGAGCAGGCGGATAACGGCGGTGATAAAGCTATGGAGCCATACACATAACTGAACATCAATCTCCAAAACTCGGGATTGATTTCCTTCATGAAGCTGGGTTCTCTGGCAAAGTTGGTAGATAGTGGAAAATGTGTTGCACCAAGCAAGCGCGAACACGCACAACCGGTTGTTGTTGCTTCCGAAGTTTGCGGGCTTTTCCGAGGTATTCACAATTTTGAAGATGGGGCAGATGCATTATGTATCTAATATTGACTGAGTACGAGGTCAATATAGGAAATAAAAGCCGAGTAAAAGACCGAGGCGAAGCCGAGGTCTTTTACGAGGTTTTTATTTCCTATACTGACCAAGTTCGAAGTCAGTATTAGATTTATCACGACAAACAGTCCGTATTTTAAATTCCAGAACGATAACCTCATGAATCCCAGTTTTATGATTGCACAACCGTTGCACCACCACCTACTCATGCAGTGACAATGCTGCACTAGGCACCGTTCAACTGCGCAACCCCTAAGCAGTCAAATATAAGCAGTCAATATAGCCCTAAGGAGTGAAATATGCAGGAATATTTGACGGCTTAGGTATGGCAAAAATCTATGCGAGTCAATACTAAGGGAGTGATAATTGTATTTATTGACCAGAACATGATCCATGTTATGATCAAGTGCACAAGGTAGGAGGGAAAATAGAACATTTGGAGAGGACTCTACTTTGAGTGAAGGCAATACAATGGCATTGGTTTCGCAAATTTGCGCAAGAGGCGTCCTCTGTACTCGCAATAATCTGCCGACTGCCCTTCGTTTCGATAGGAATGGATGCCATATAATCAAGTAAAAGCCCTAAAATAGTTTTCAGGAACTACTCTGCTACTTGAGGTTTGATCAGGAAGATGGTCTCCGGACACGTCGAACGGAAAGTATTCCTTTGCTATGAGTCGCAACACCACGTTCTCCTTTCGTTCGTAAATGTATTGATCATACAGTCAAAGAATGACAAACCTGGCTGAGAAAAATCCAGCAAGTTGGCACAGCAGCAGCCATTTCCGGGGTAGTGGACTGAAATGTAGAGTTTGCAGGATGAGCATGGCAAGCATGTGGTCTTTTATTTTTCCGTAAACTGAGGAGAGGTTGCCCTTTTGCTGTGCGCAATGTCAGCTGCTGGTCTCCAAGATAGTGCACCTGTCATTGGTTCTTCCTTTTAGAAGGTACTTCCTCCGCGTCATTAAAATTGTCGCTTCGCACATCGCAATATTTGAGACTTGGCTCGTCTTAGTCAGACTGTCGGAATCGCTGTTTTCTGTGTTCGAATACTGGTACGACCTTTCCTGCGCAATGTCTACTTGTCACTGAAGCCGCTGTGGTCTCGGACTTTGTCGGAGCGCTCTTCCGCACCAAGCAAATTCATCGCGCTCCGCATTATTCCGCCGCAGAGCGCATTGCGTTTTCTGAAGTTCGTGCTGTCCCACATCGTTCGCGTGGGCATTTATCAAGACTGCAAGCTCAGGTATAAGAAACCTGGAATCTTTCCTGAGTACGAAATGCTGAGGTTTACGATGGCAAGAACAAAGCGGTCTCAAATTCCTGAAATGCGCTACTTGTGGCTCATGTTGCTGCGAAGGTAGCAGGTCTGAAAACACCAACAAAATCGACGAAGCGCTTGCCAAGGAAAGAAGGTGCGAAACTGCTTACCCTGTCCCGCTGGAAGGTCGTTACAGTGTACTTGAAAATTGCTAGCTTGCCTTGATCGCCTGCCACCTGGAGGCATGGGGATATGGATCGCTTGAAAACGAATTTTTTTGACCTGAATTTGACCATGCGTCTAGTTCAGCGTATTGTTGAGTGCTGAAGGGTCTGCCTCAAACTCTGATGAAGACGTCGACCTTAGCTGCAAGTGCAGCGATGCGGGGGCGGGGGGGGGGGGGGTGTCACATACTAAAGCTTGGTCTGTCGACAATGCTCTGCCTCAATTTCTAGCTGATTTCTTTGCCCTTCGAGTGGACAAAAAATTCGAAAAATCGCTCTGGGAAGCGACAACTTTAATGACGCGGAGGAAGTACCTTTTATACCAAGGACTTCTGTTTCTACACAGTCATATTGCCGAAAATAATTCTAATCAGGCATGTTTAAGTCCGGTGCAGTCATATGATGCCTCCGGTACTTCTAGGGTGGTTGAAATCTTGATAGTTCTAGGGTTAAAAATCCTTCCTTATGCAAAGTTGTGTATGACCAACTGCCCCCTCCCCCCCCCCCCCTCCACCCCACCCACCCCCACCTCCCCCCGCCCTTCTTCCTATTACTTCTTTCTATTTCCCCCGTTCTTGTACCAATTAGAAAAATTAAAAAAATTCTGAAGAACTGCGGCCGTTTAAGTCTATAAAAATAAGACCTCACGTCTGTGTGTGGGGTACAAGTTGGTCAATTGGTCTACTGTCCATGCGTGTTCTACGTCATAGTGAATGACTGCTTTTTGCAACAATCTATCCTACACTACTCAACATAGTGCACCAGGTGTAAGAATAAATGGGAAAAAATAATAATCCGCCGGCGTTCCTGACCAGCCAACCGCTGTTTTTGCACCAGGACGGAATTTTCCGAAAATTACGAACGACGCTAGCATAACTGGAAAATACTGCTCTTCAGTTTACTAGAATACCGGCATGAATATCTCTGAAGTTTAAGTTTATGACAGGATTTATGCCATTAGATACTGAACATAAATTCATAATGGAGTACAGTAAACAAAATAACATGCAAACTGGAACAGTAGCACAGTCCCTTAAAGTACTGCTGGTGGTGCTGCCCTTGAAAAGAGTTGTTCATCAGGATCTTATAAAATACAGCAATACCAACTTGCATTGAGCCAAGGGCAATGTGTTGTGTTTATTTTGTTTGCAGTGAGAACAGTGGGAAGGTTTTCAACAAGCCTTAGCAAGTGGAAAAAGCTGACGGCCAGTTCCAGTCATTGTTAGCATTCCTGTAGTGTTACACCACGCATACACATGCATGCATAATTATGTCAACACACCTATACACAATTATTATGCATGACTGTAAGAGGTAATAATCAGTACGCATTTCACACGATGTCACCTGATGCCTTTATTTCACTTCGTGTTGGTACTTCTCTGTACTTTGATGCTACTTGCATGAAGCTAATCTTGGTCTAAGGACATATTGGTAGGAAATATTGATAAGGAAACTTAGCATTGATTGAATTGAAGCATGCACGACTTCAGGTTTGTCTATTGTGACGGTTTACCTCTCCTGGTGGTCCATCAAGTTTGTTGCCCTTGGATGTATTGTCAATGTCGCTACATTCAGCTTGAAGATATTAATTACATAGTGCCTATCCTAAATGCATTTCCACTGATATCTGTGAAGGAGTATTTTCGCTGTGCACTGTTACATTTTGCCTCCAAGTTTATTTGTTATCACAAATCTATACTGTTGTTGATCAAATTAATGTAGCTGCAATCAGCTAGAACAGTTGGTTTTCCATTAATTGAAGAGAGCATTCTTACAGCACATAGTGCCTATCGTAGATGTATTTCCACTGCAATCTGTGAAGAAGTACATCAACTATGCACTGTCACATTTTGCCTCCAAGTATGTCAGTTTGTCATGAGGAATCTGTACTTGTTGATAAAATAATGTCGCTGCACTTAGCTAGAACAGTTGATTTCTAATTGATATTAAAGTGACCATCCTTACAACACATAGTGCCTATCGTAGATGCAAGTCCACTGGTATCTGTGAAGCAGTATATTCTCTATGCACTGCTACATCTAGTCTACAAGTCTGTTAGATTGCAATGAAAAATCGGTTACTTCAAGATTTATGAGAGTTGTTGTGGTCTATAGGGAGTTCCCCTATCATTATTTTTGCTCCAAGAAACTCGTACATGGCTGGGGCAGCCAATAACCACTTTGGAGTGGTGATTGCAGGGTTTTTTATAGCCAACCACAGCGTATTACCCTAAGAGTGGATTGAGCGAGGTCATCTGCAATTAAACGCAGCAAATGTTCTATTTTCTCCACTTTCTGGAACAATAATGTGTCACCTGTTGCTATGAAGTTGAAGTTTGGTCTTCAGTGGTGCCCTCACCAAAACTTTGGCCTGATCGGCCGTCTCTAAGGGTACAAAATGTAATCCTGCAGCAAGGATTTTTTGAGGCCATGAAAGTAGGTGTACCCGTACGAGTAGAATAACGGTCTACACTCGGGAATGTTACTCACAGACCTGTAAAATCACATTGGCAAGGTACAGGCACCAGTTTTCCGAGTGTTGCAACGAAGTAGGGAAATAATCATCCCATGATCTTCTACAATGTACATGTGGCTACTTCGACGTATGCATGTCATTATGCAGCATACGGAACGGCAACAAAAAATAATTCAAAAAGACGTTATTGAAAAAAAGGCTTTTTAAAAAGGCCATGTGTTTCTACGTTCATTGGTATTACATGTGTTTCTACGTTCATTGGTATTACATGTGTTTCTACGTTCATTGGTATTACATGTGTTTCTACGTTCATTGGTATTACCAAGAGTAGATAAACATCTACTCTTGGTATTACATGTGTTTCTACGTTCATTGGTATTACATGTATTTCTACGTTCATTGGTATTACATGTGTTTCTACGTTCATTGGTATTACATGTGTTTCTACGTTCATTGGTATTACATGTGTTTCTACGTTCATTGGTATTACATGTGTTTCTACGTTCATTGGTATTACATGTGTTTCTACGTTCATTGGTATTACATGTGTTTCTACGTTCATTGGTATTACGTGTGTTTCTACGTTCATTGGTATTACATGTGTTTCTACGTTCATTGGTATTACATGTATTTCTACGTTCATTGGTATTACATGTGTTTCTACGTTCATTGGTATTACATGTGTTTCTACGTTCATTGGTATTACATGTGTTTCTACGTTCATTGGTATTACATGTGTTTCTACGTTCATTGGTATTACATGTGTTTCTACGTTCATTGGTATTACATGTGTTTCTACGTTCATTGGTATTACATGTGTTTCTACGTTCATTGGTATTACATGTGTTTCTACGTTCATTGGTATTACACGTGTTTCTACGTTCATTGGTATTACATGTGTTTCTACATTCATTGGTATTACATGTGTTTCTACGTTCATTGGTATTACATGTGTTTCTACGTTCATTGGTGTTACATGTGTTTCTACGTTCATTGGTATTACATGTGTTTCCACGTTCATTGGTATTACATGTGTTTCCACGTTCATTGGTATTACATGTGTTTCTACGTTCATTGGTATTACATGTGTTTCTACGTTCATTGGTATTACATGTGTTTCTACGTTCATTGGTATTACATGTGTTTCTACGTTCATTGGTATTACATGTGTTTCTACGTTCATTGGTATTACATGTGTTTCTACGTTCATTGGTATTACATGTGTTTCTACGTTCATTGGTATTACGTGTGTTTCTACGTTCATTGGTATTACATGTGTTTCTACGTTCATTGGTATTACGTGTGTTTCTACGTTCATTGGTATTACATGTGGTTCTACGTTCATTGGTATTACATGTGTTTCTACGTTCATTGGTATTACATGTGTTTCTACGTTCATTGGTATTACATGTGGTTCTACGTTCATTGGTATTACATGTGTTTCTACGTTCATTGGTATTACATGTGTTTCTACGTTCATTGGTATTACGTGTGTTTCTACGTTCATTGGTATTACATGTGTTTCTACGTTCATTGGTATTACTTGTACCGGTACATGTACACGTACAATACCCACACAACAATTGACACCACCATTGCACCAAGTCCTTTTCTGCCATTACTCAGAGTTTCGTGTTAAAAAAACACTCATCACACAGCATGATGGAAACTCCAGCCCAATTTAGACCAGACAGAAGCCACGTATATTTCTTCATCCACTCCTGATCAACCATTATACTTCCCTGACTTGACTATGCCTATCCGTGTTGTTACTCAGCACAAAACATCTCGGTGTGATGTTTGACTGCAAACGCTCTTGGGCTGCACATGTCAACTGTGTATGCAAGCGAACCAGTTCAGCATTAGGGGTACTACAACCACATTGCATTCATTTGCCCATCCAGCGTAAACTATTATTTTATCAGTGCTATATTCTCCCTATATTCGACTATTGCGATACCGCTTGGTGTGGCCTTTCTGACACAACTCTGAACCAATTAGAAGTCCACCATAGATTTATACTTAAAATTCTTTACAATAAGGATCGATGTTTTCCTTCGGATGCCCTTTATCGACTTGCACACACTTCTCCTCTCTCCGTTCGTCATAAGCACCAACTCTGTACACTGGTTCATAAAATATGTCTTCATAAAATCTCTTCACACATGATGAAGTACAACTGGTTTACGACAAGCTCAACCCGTCGCGCTCATCCTGCCTCTTGTTATGTCAGCCCAGTATCTAAAGTCCCCTTTGTTTTCCGGCTACTCTCATTGGTTATCATTACCATACGGTCTGATAACTTGTTTTTCTATTGGTCAGTCTAAAGATCTACTATCACAACTGAACTAGACGCAATGATTATTATCGAAGAACATTCTCAAATACCTGGGTGATGCACGAATTTTGATAGTGCTCACTTCCGTTACTCGTTTTTCTTTGTAATTTTCCATTCATTTTTTGCTTTAATTCATATTTGCTTTGTTTTCCTAGCTTAGGCCGCGGTCACACCAAGCGCGATTCAGCCATTCAGCGGAAAAAGCGCTTTTTGACGTCATCGTCGCTACGGAAACGGCTGAATTTTCGGCTTCAGCCTTTTTCAGCAGTCAGCCGTTTTCAAAGCGCTGAATGGGAGCGCCATACTGGCGCAGTGGCGGGAAAAATAAACTCGTTCAAAGCGCATCTTGGCATGATCTTGCAGCTTGCATCGTGTTCTTCTCAATTCTGCCACCTTCCGGCTTTCGTTGTTGGTGAAACTTCTCTCCTTGCCTTTTTGTCGGTCATCATGGAATCCTGGACAGTAGCACTGGAGCGGCGACTACTGGAGCTTTGGTTTGAAACAAAAACCAAGTATGAGACCACTATGAAAAAATACCAGAAAGAGAGCGTGGATCTTGGACGAACTGAAGAAGTGTGCTGGAGAAGGAGACGGGAACCGGAAAACAAGAGAGAATCATATTCAAAAATGAGCGGGAAGAAAAAAAACTCTAGCACACAAAAAAATTCCAGCCGATTTCGCGAAGTGGTGTGACCAACCGCCCCATTCAGCACAAGCCACTTTCAGCGCAAGCGGGAAACGGCTTGTTTGGTGTGACCGCGGCCTTACTATTGCCGTGGCTGGCTCAACGCCCTTGTCTCAGGGGATTCTGTCCATGCATTAGCTATGCTTGTCACATGCTATGAGAGATATCCTTGTCACATGCTTTCATTTTGTGTCTAATAATAATAATAATACAGTAATAATAATAGGGACGTTTAGCAATGCGAAAATTCGAACTTTTGGTGGTGGCGATATTTCGCCAACATCTTTTTCGAAAAAGAAAACTTGTGAGGTTTAGCAATGCGAAACGACTTTTTCTCGAAGCTATTTGAATCTTATAGTACCGTACCGTTTCTGCAGCTCAGTCTCAAGCAGGGGGCTGTAAAACTACTACTCCCTGTAGTGAAATGCGTACCGAGAAAATAGAAAGTTACTTTCGCAAATAGAGAGGTTCCGCATAACGTAATTACGTTAGTAAAAAACGTAGTCGATCTACGGAAAGTCTGACGTAAACTCTTTCTTGATGAATGCATGATGAAAAAAGAGAAAAATAATAAGGCACCCATTTTTATAGTCCAGGGGATGGCCCACGCCTGGTAAAAAGAATAAACAGAGAAAAGAAAAAAGACAGTTCAATTGCACACTGATCACTAAAGAAGAAGATGAGTCCGTCTATGAGGAAAGCCGAGCCTCAACCACCTCCAGACCAATATTGTCTGGGTTGAGATGGATGCGTGCCCTAGGACGTCTTGAACCGCGCAGGCACAGGATAGAGGCTCTGACGAGAGAGATGCTGATCTTCGACCTCAGCCAAGCCATCACTTGTGAGTAGGGCTGCAACTTCTTCTCTTCCATGAGACTTGCGATCCTCTTCACCAAAGCATTAGCACTTCGACCTGCTCCACCAGATGTGGCGTAGACGACAGGGATGAAGGTGTAACAGTTTTCCCCTGGTCTCTACAACTTTACACTCCCTCGCACCTCATGCGTCTTACGCCTGTCTATTAGCACCTTCATTGGCGCCATTGCCACATGTATACTATCACATTTTGCATATAACTGGTCGAGGCACGCTCAACCAGGCCTCTTACTTTTCAAGTTTGATTAAACCTGTTACACTGGTAGCAGAGGATGGTTACTACTCTGCTTTTGGCAGGTGTTCTGGTCGCTCTGCTTACGCTCCTCGTACTCGTCGTTCGGCTGATAAACGATATCAAGACCGCTCAGCGCGTTAGCCAAGGAAACCGAACGATACATCCGAACTCGGAACCGTGGGAGCCAACACCCCGCCTTACGAAAGAGCCGCCTGTGTTTGGAGGAGATTCCGCTACATTCAAAGAATGGACGTTTGCAATGGACATGGCCCTACGGTCGTTGGCACTCCCAAATGCGGCACAGAGGGTCGACTACGCGGCAGGATTTTTGACTGGAAACGCTCGTCTTTGGTTGATAGCGGCATTGGAAGCTAACCAAGTGTTTTCCGACTGGCCTGCTCTGAAAGCGGCACTTGGCGATGTGTACGGACCACGGCACAACGAGGAAACATCGCGTATGGGACTAATTTCCGCAGCGCAGCG